CGTTTGCATGGTCGCTTTCCTAAATGACATGAACTTCGTCATACTTTGTTGCATGGTAAACATCATAGTTTCCAAATTGCTTTGTGGCTGGACTGGGATCTGTTGAGCGTTTTCTGAGTGTGGCTGGGGTGGATTTTCCATACCCGTTCGTAGAGCATCAGCGTAGGAGATGCCTTTGGTGGTACTGAGCGGACCGAAAGATGATCTGGCTGCCTTAGCGAAAAATACGTCTGGCGTAGTTTTTGATTTAAAATACACATTTTGTGTATTTTGTTGACGTGTAGCTGTCGCTTGACGCATGCGACTCTTCAGCTCCTTGTAAACCAGACAGCCTCTGTAGTTTGCCGTATGGTTTTCTCCGCAGTTCCCACATTTTTTTGTATGGGGGTCTTTTTTGTTTTGCAGACTGACCGAAGTGTGCAGTATGTCCTGGTGTGCCCAAACTCCTGGCAATTTGTGCATTGCACTGGTCCGTTCCGTTTGTGAGGTTCTTCCACTGTGATCCTCCGGTGCAGTAAGAACTGTAGCTTGTAGATCGGGTGCACTTCATTTTTTCTTTAGGGTTTTGTCATCTGGCTCGAGCTCGACCTTAAAGAGTGGTTGCGGCTTTTTATTTTTGTTAATAATATTGCTAACATTCTTAGCAAAGAATCCCTTGTCTTTAAGGGCTTCTAGTATCTCAGAGGGGGAGACGTCGGGTTAGATTCCTTTTAGTACTACCTGCAGTCCTTTGCTGCTTTTTAGTGGATAGGTGTAAAAATTCTTTTTAGTTTCCTCCAGGTATTTGGAAACAGCTCGGAAGTGTTCTTCATATTTCGTCTGAACTTTAGTTTCGTGGATGTTCCCTTTAATAAGCGGAACAACATGAAAATTTTCGTCCCCGACCAGCGCAACAATTTTGTTGACCAGGGCGTTTGAGCTTTTTTCCCTAATATAAATAGGTGGGGGCTTTGGTTTCTTTTGAGCCACTTGCTCCGGCTCAGCTTGGATCTCACCATCTGCTAAGAGGGAAAATCTGTTGCTATTGTTGAAAATCATGGTTTTATCTTTGATTTGGATTGTACGGTTGATCTTTGGTTTGTTACCAACCGTGTTTTGCGGACTAAGCTTACGCTTAATCTGGATGAAGCGATCCATACCGGTCTGTATGGCCGGAACCGCTTGTTGCTTATCGAAGCTTACGGTTTTTGTTGCCGTTGCAGTTGGCGATGGAGCCGTTGACACCGTTTTCGCAATATTGGTCGTTGCTTTAGTTGTTGTCTTTACTTTTGCTGAGGTAGCAGAAATTGAAGCACTGCTTGTTGTTGGTGCGTCACCCTGTGGTGGTGGGGTCTGGCATTGATAACTCCAAGATGTAGGAGTTGGAATAAGTAGGGCTGGTGATAGAGAGCGAGCTTTCGACGGCCAGTAGGGCCGGGTTGCTCTTTGTAGACGTTTTCTCTACTTCGGTATCGCGAGTTGAGAAATAAGCATAACAAGCGATTCTTTGGTTAACGGAGCTTCTACGCTCATTATTTTGCTCGCCGCTCATTTATTTGAGCTAATCGCGCGTGGCAATATTTGTGAAAAACTGTATTTTATCACTTATAAAAGTAATTAGATATAGGGAACATGAGCAGGAGCACCCACGCGTACCCTGAGTGTCTTTTCGCGAGATAAATTTGAATATTTTCGAAGTATTTTTAGTTACTCGGCGGAGCGATATAAAAACACGTCTGTTGTCTTTGACAGTTTGAACATCTATTCCGCAGAATTGAAATAGATTTCAAACACTTCGTTGAATATGGGCACAGTACGATGTTATTAAAATACTTTTGAAACTGTGAACACAGTGTTGTCGTAATCGATTTATTGTCTACAACAGTGTTTCCCAAACATGTTGGGACCGCGACCCATCTACACAAAAAATTGAAAGATCTATATTGCAATTAGTACCCACCAAAAATCTACCCGCGACCCACCAATGGGTCGCGACCCACACTTTAGAAAATACTGGTCTACAACATATTTTTCGATAGATACGAAGCACTTAAAGCATTTTAATATGTCAGCCAAGGGGCCGTTCATAAACCTCGTGACGCTCATCATTATCATCATCATTGGGGGTTCATCAGAGAGTCACGCTTTGTTGTAAGGAGGTTGTAATTTATATACATATGTGATGCGTCACATAGGGAGGGAGGCGGTCAAAAAAGCCAAAAATTAGCATGACGAGGTTTATGGACGGCCCCCAAGGTATGTTCGGCTGTAATAAAAATATACAAATAATTGTTAAATTTCTATACCCTTGCAGTGCAAATGGTATTATAATTTCAGTCAGAAGTTTGCAACGGAGTAAAGGAGACACCTCAGACTCCATAAAGTATATATATTCTTGATCACCATCACGATCATAATCAATAATCTACGCAAACTAGTCTCCCAGTTTTGAAGCTATTTTGTTAAAACTTTCCCAAAAGTTGTGTAGTAATTGCACGCAGTATATAAGTCGGAATGGGTCGAATCGGTTTACTATGTATATCGGATAGCTCCCATACGAGAGAATGAAATAAAAAATTCCAGATGCCGTTTTCTAACTACTATTGAATTTCGGATTAAATTTTATCAAAATCGGATAACTCTATCATATGTAATGGAAAAGATTGAAAAATATATATATAAATAATGAAAAAAAAAAATTATAACGTCGTTGTTTTTTATCCCAAGAGCATGATTTTCAAAACAGTTTGGAGTGGAGTTTTTTAATAGCCCTTGAATCGAGAAAAAAAATTCATTAAAATCCAACATCGTTGTCATATATCTGCCATAGGAAAGATCAAAAAAATATATAGAAATTACGGAGTTAAATGACAATCATGATTTTTGGAATATAGAGTTTTCTAATGAATCTTGAATTTCGAATTCAATTTCATAAAAATCGGTCGACTATAACATATTGCTGTCATATGAACAATCGTCGAAAATACGGAAACTTCATAGAAAAATCAACATAGTTCGATGTTGATAACCCTTTATGTATTTTGTTCGACATATTTGATGACTGCAAGGGTATATAAGCTTCGGTTTGCCGAAGTTAGCTTCCTTTCTTGTTTTATTTGAAAACAATTTTAGGAATAACCAGGTTTATGTTTATTGCCCTACTTTTTAAAACCTTATTAAACGATTAAAGTACTTAATTTTTAGCTTATTCAACACTTTAATACATCTGTGTACATATAATAAAACATATAAAGTTGACAATTCTGACATATCAACTCAACTATGGGAATGAGCAAACAATAATATGATAACGCGTTCATTTGGGTCCGTTTTGAAACTTTCTAAAACTTCATTGTACAAATGTCCATACATATGTATGTATGTGTAGCTACCCTGCAGTTCTGGCTGTCACCTGGTGTCTCGTGGCATTCAAGCAATCAATGTGTAGGAAAGGAAAAGGGATATTCCTAAGTTTCCCTCTCTTTCTCACTCTTATAATACGATTTCGTTGCTTGCACCCGACGGCGGTCCGACTCCAAATTTGTCTTCTATTCTTTCGTTTTTCTAATTGCACTGTTGTCATTCTCCGTTAGAAACAAAAAATTGGTTACCAATGGAAAATACGGCTGAGGGGCGCTCGACTTATGTATACTCTTTTGATGTTAAAGTTCTTCAAATATTAAATATAATATATATTATATTTTATATATTTTCAACATTATATAAATTATTAAACCAAGATAAGCATAACACAACATTGATTGCAAATATAGATATAATATAACTCGCGTGTCATTTATGGTCACTGGTAGTTGTGACCCTGCAGTTCCAAAAGTGGCTTGTCGTCGATGACATGGACGACGACCCACCGATGCCAGTGTCCGTAGCACCTGGTGTCGCACTGATGTCACTTCATATAAAGTTTTGTATGGCATTCTAGGATTTGACATGCATGTCGCTCTCGATGACCATTTTGTCCGAGTCATCGAGCGAGGCATCGATGGCTTATACGAATTTTGTATGGAGAAAATTCGTATAAGACATCGATGATATCGTAGATGGCGTGGAGGCGATGTTGTCATCGATGGCTTTTGCGAGGGTACCCTTAGTGAAATCATCTATGCCAATGTCTGAAATGTCATCCCCAAATTCATATGAAAAACAATATATATATATTAATTTTTTTTTATTTTATTAATAAATCTTATTTTGTAACATAAGAGATAAGTACATAAATAATATGAAATTAGAAAGTTTTTGTTTACCATTTATGTGGAATATTTACAGGACAACGGCTGTTTTGCGTCCATCTATGGTACAAAAAATATTTTTATTATTACATATTATATATGTATTACTTTTTTTAATTTAAAGCAATCGTACCTTTCAAACGAATTTATCGTACAGCCTGTATATTCTAAAAAGATTTAAAAAAGTTTGTAGTAAAAAACATAATATTTTTGTAAACTTAACGACACTTACATGATTTTTAAACGATTCCGCTGCGCCTTGCGCAAATTAAGTAATTTCACAACTTGTCAACGCACAACGCAAAAGAATGAGCAGTTCAATTTTATTTTTCACCCTTTTAGTATACCCTTCTTTTTTGGGTATAACCGACCATAAATGACACGCGAGTTATATTATATCTATATTTGCAATCAATGTTGTGTTATGCTTATCTTGGTTTAATAATTTATATAATGTTGAAAATATATAAAATATAATATATATTATATTTAATATTTGAAGAACTTTAACATCAAAAGAGTATACATAAGTCGAGCGCCCCTCAGCCGTATTTTCCATTGGTAACCAATTTTTTGTTTCTAACGGAGAATGACAACAGTGCAATTAGAAAAACGAAAGAATAGAAGACAAATTTGGAGTCGGGCCGCCGTCGGGTGCAAGCAACGAAATCGTATTATAAGAGTGAGAAAGAGAGGGAAACTTAGGAATATCCCTTTTCCTTTCCTACACATTGATTGCTTGAATGCCACGAGACACCAGGTGACAGCCAGAACTGCAGGGAATATATCATATGTATATGTATAAGATAAGGTTTTTTTAAATTGTAGCAGCGTGTTTGCCCACAATAATCTCCACCTGCACAGCTCTTGCAGAAGGTTTCCACCGTGGCACGTGCTGCTCACGGAAGTGTTGGCTCTGATGTAACCGATGCGGCAAGTCGCTGCCTTCAAGGGTCGGTCACTTGGTAGATGCCTCTGCACTCGTATAAAGATACAGAGCACCGATCGAGACCAGGTGGTGGCCACGATCAGTGACGATGATGCTGCTGATCCTCTTCTTGAGGCAAGGATATTTCTAAGCTTGTCAAATGCGCTTAAATGGGGCTTATCAAAGCTCACCGAAATGCCTTTTGAACGGTTATTGCTGACCCTGCCACCTTCTAACTCTATCAAAGGTCTCGCTATTGATGCGAAATCTTTGATGAAGCATCATGCACGGCATCACTTTCATAGTCCGTTTTTTCTTCACCGTCGATGTCATCTACCTCATCACTAGCAATCTGATTATAATAATCCTCGGTTTGACCACCCTTATCTTCTTCAAACAGATGATTAACTAACTAAGTCAGCAACCTTTGAGAGTTCATAGGTCTCTTGTGTGTAATCTGCTGCTGTGCATCGAGTGCCTGCTGTGCGGAAGAACCCTGAGAGCGCTGAAGTTTGTAGATTGATGGACGTCATTCTCCTCTAATGGTATATTATCAACAACGGTTCGTTAACCTTGATCCCTGGTAAAATATAGATTTTTCCATCTATATTTATTTTTAAGTATCTGTTCGGGGTTGGAAGTTATTAGATTTGGATTATAAAAATCGTAAAACGTTCATGTCTATTCACTTGGACCTAGCTTAACAAAGGGGATACGTTCCTAGCAATCCTCGTGTTAGGCGAAACATGGACTCAGTACAAAATAAGGATACAGGCATTTATTGTCCTGTGCTTGTTTAGGTGCCAATATCAGTAAACGACAGTTTTCTAAATTAACCCATAAATACTGATTAAGCTGCGAGCTATTTTCCATTGACAAAAATATAAACAGGTCGCTAGCGGAAAAATTTTATTCTGTGTAGTAACAAAGTTTTCAAAGTTCACCGAAATGCTGGTACCATGGTCAAACTGTTAATCAATTGGGTTTTTGGACAAACTGCAAAATATAAATAAAATGCTTATCTTAAGAGAATATCTCAAAAATGTAATGCAGGATATTCTCAACTACCTTCAAAGGCCAAGTCTATCGGTGTACATACATGGATTAATATCCAAGCACAGGCCGATTAATAATTTTTTTATGTTACCTTTAATTTAGTTTAATCATAAGTGTAAAAGCTCTTTAAAGGTATAAAGATGGGCCTTTTTATTGCCCTTGTTTATGGGCGACCGATTTTGTTTACTTAAATATATATACTCTGAAGTGCACAGAATACAAATATTATGTTGTCAAAAAAAAAGTTTTGCGGTATTTTCGCTAGTTGGCGCTGAAAGCGCGTAGTTCTTGTTTTATTCGTCGCATACTATACCTTTTAAGAAAGCTCATTTCACGCGCTAACACGTGTTTGATTGATTGTCTTTTCTTTTAAGTCGTTCGTTAGTTATAGCGTCGCAATCATGGAGCAAAATAAAGAGAAAATACGGCATATTTTACAGTACTACTACGATAAAGGCAAAAATGCATCTCAAGCCGCCAATAAAATTTGTGCAGTTTATAGACCCGATACTGTTTCCATTTCCACCGCACAACGATTTCGTTCTGGTGCAGAGGTGGTTGAAGATGCGCCACGCTCCGGAAGGCCTGTCGTCGAAAATTGCGATAAAATCGCTGAATTGGTCGAAAGAGACCGGCATAGTAGAAGCCGTAGTATCGGTCAAGAGCTGGACATGAGTCATCAAACCGTTATTAACCATTTGAAGAAGCTTGGAGTCACTAAGAAGCTCGATGTATGGGTGCCACACGAATTGACTCGAAAAAACATCTTTGACCGTATCGACGCATGCGAATCGCTTCTAAATCGCAACAAAATCGACCCGTTTTTGAAGAGTATGGTGACTGGCGATGAAAAGTGGGTCACTTACGATAACGTAAGGCGCAAAACGGTCGTGGTAGAAAGGGGTGAAGCGGCCCAGATGGTGGCCAAGCCTGGATTGACGGACAGGAAGGTTCTTCTATGTGTTTGGTGGGATTGGCAGGGAATAATCCACTATGAGCTGCTCCCCTATGGCCAAACGCTCAATTCGGACCTCTACTGCCAACAACTGGACCGCTTGAAGACAGCACTCATGCAGAAGAGGCCATCTTTGATCAACAGAGGCCGAATTGCCTTCCACCAGGACAACGCCAGGCCACACACATCTTTAGTGACGCGCCAGAAGCTCCGGGAGCTCGGATGGGAGGTTCTTGTGCATCCACCGTATAGTCCGGATCTCGCACCAAGTGATTACCACCTGTTTCTGTCCATGGCGAACGCGCTTGGTAGTCTGAAGTTTGCCACAAGAGAGTCCTGTGAAAATTAGCTCTCCTAGTTTTTTGCCAATAGGGAAGCGAGTTTCTATGAGAGGGGCATTATGAAGTTGGCATCTCGTTGGGAACGCGTCATCGAACAAAACGGCGCATATTTGACTTGAATCGCATTATTGTAACCAATTTTATGAACAATTGAAAATTCAATAAAAATACCGGAAGACTTTTTTGCTAGTTGATCAACAGAGGCCGAATTGCCTTCCACCAGGACAACGCCAGGCCACACACATCTTTAGTGACGCGCCAGAAGCTCCGGGAGCTCGGATGGGAGGTTCTTGTGCATCCACCGTACAGTCCGGATCTCGCACCAAGTGATTACCACCTGTTTCTGTCCATGGCGAACGCGCTTGGTAGTCTGAAGTTTGCCACAAGAGAGTCCTGTGAAAATTAGCTCTCCTGGTTTTTTGCCAATAGGGAAGCGAGTTTCTATGAGAGGGGCATTATGAAGTTGGCATCTCGTTGGGAACGCGTCATCGAACAAAACGGCGCATATTTGACTTGAATCGCATTATTGTAACCAATTTTATGAACAATTGAAAATTCAATAAAAATACCGCAAGACTTTTTTGACAACCTAATACTATTTTCGCTTTTCGTTTTTCGTCTTTAATTTTCATCTGCACTTCGTGTTATTTAGTCTACCACAATAATTCAAGAACCGGGTTTAGTTCTCAAAGAGTGAATTGGTATAATTTATATGTTGCAAAATGTGAAAAAGGTAGAATGACGCACTTTCGACCTCATAAAATTGAATTATTCTTAATCAAGATCATCAACGAGTCGATTTATTTTTAACAGCATAACACATTCTACAGTTCAAACTTTATCGAACCCAATATATTAATCAAATCAGAATGACTTATATGAAATTTTATCACCGTATAAGAATTTTACTAACACAGCTCTGTCATTTCCAGAAGTAAAACTTCCATGTTTTTGGTTAAACCCATTATTTTTATAGTCGACAAGATAAAGGATGATTTTTATACCCTTTCAGAGCAAAGCGTATTATAATTTCAGTCAGAAGCTTGCAACGCAGTGAAGGAGACTCCTCAGACCCCATAAAGTATAGGGGAGAGTGGGGATAGGTGAACCACTTTTTTTGTTGAACATTATTATGTCAACAACAATTCGACGTTAGGGTCTGCTGTTTATAGGAATCTAAAAGAGCATTCATTCCTTTGCATTTAAAGTATTTTGTGAAAATAATATGTCACGTTTTTTTAACTTTATGAGCATTTTAAATTTTTGTCTCGAATAAACCATTGTCGTCTACTTGAACCACCCCACAAACATAGTTGAACCACCTTTCAGACTAATGGAATATTTTGAAATGCATGAGATATACGTGAAAATAACATAATTTGCGTCTATTTAAGTTAACAAAAGATTTTTTAGAGTTCAATGCAATGAATTGGAACGATCAACTGTCAATGACAACAGACGTGTTTTTATATCGCTCCGCCGAGTAACTAAAAATACATCGGAAATATCAGATTTCTATTTCGCAAAATTCGCTCAGGGTACGCGTGGGTACTTATGTTGCCTATATCTAATTGCTAATATAAGTGATATAATACAGTTTTTTTTCACAAAATTTGCCACGCGCGATAAGCTCAAATAAATGAGCGGCGAGCAAAATAATGAGCGTAGAAGCTCCGTAAACCAAAGAAACGCTTGTTATGCTTATTTCTCAACCCGCGATACCGAAGTAGAGAAAACGTCTACAAAGAGCGTCAGTAGGGCCCTACTGACCGTCGAAAGCTCGAGAGCTCGCTCTCTATCACCAGCCCTACTTATTCCAACTCCTACATCTTGGAGTTATCAATGCCAGACCCCACCACCACCGGGTGACGCACCAACAACAAGCAGTGCTTCAATTTCTGCTACCTCAGCAAAAGTAAAGACAACAACTAAAGCAACGACCAATATTGCGAAAACGGTGTCAACGGCTCCATCGCCAACTGCAACGGCAACAAAAACCGTAAGCTTCGATAAGCAACAAGCGGTTCCGGCCATACAGACCGGTATGGATCGCTACATCCAGATAAAGCGTAAGCTTAGTTCGCAAAACACGGTTGGTAACAAACCAAAGATCAACCGTACAATCCAAGCCAAGGAAAAAACCAGTATTTCAAACAACAGCAACCGATTTTCCCTCTTAGCAGATGGTGAGACCCAAGCTGAGCCGGAGCAAGTGACCCAAAAGAAACCAAAGCCCCCACCTATTTACATTAGGGAAAAAAGCTTAAACGCCTTGGTCAACAAAATTGTTGCGCTGGTCGGGGACGAAAATTTTCGTGTTGTTCCGCTTATTAAAGCGAACATCCACGAAACCAAAGTTCAGACGAAATATGAAGAACACTTCCGAGCTGTTTCCAAATACCTGGAGGAAACTAAAAAGAATTTTTACACCTATCAACTAAAAAGCAGCAAAGGACTGCAGGTAGTACTAAAAGGAATCGAACCCGACGCCTCCCCCTCTGAGATACTAGAAGCTCTTAAAGACAAGGGATTCTTTGCTAAGAATGTTAGCAATATTATCAACAAAAATAAAAAGCCGCAACCTCTCTTTAAGGTCGAGCTCGAGCCAGATAGCAAAACCCTAAGGAAAAATGAAGTGCACCCGATCTACAAGCTGCAGTTCTTACTGCACCGGAGGATCACAGTGGAAGAACCACACAAACGGAACGGCCCAGTGCAATGTACAAATTGCCAGGAGTTTTGGCACACCAGGACATACTGCACACTTCGGTCAGTTTGTGTAGTCTGCGGAGACTTCCACAATTCCGCACACTGCCCGGCTAACAAAGAAGACCCCCATACAAAAAAATGTGGGAACTGCGGAGGAAACCATACGGCAAACTACAGAGGCTGTCTGGTCTACAAGGAGCTGAAGAGTCGCATGCGACAAGCGACAGCTACGCGTCAACAAAATACACAAAATGTGTATTTTAAATCAAAAACTACGCCAGACGTATTTTTCGCCAAGGCAGCCAGATCTTCGTTCGGTCCGCTCAGTACCATAAACGGCATCTCCTACGCTGATGCTCTACGAACGGGCATGGAAAAACCACTCCAGCCACACTCAGAAAACGCTAAACAGGTATGCAACAAAGTATGATGGAGTTCATGTCATTTATGAAAGCGACCATGCAAACGCTGGTCCAGAACCAGAATATGGTGATGCAGATGCTTGTACAATAGCAGTCCAAATAATAAATGACCAATCTAAGAATATCCATGTGGAATGCCAACGGCATTTCACGGCACAAACTGGAAATAACACAATTCCTAAATGCAAATCACATCGACGCCATGTTGCTGGTAGAAACTCACCTCACAAGCAAATATAACTTCCATATAGGGGGGTATACCTTCTACCGCACAGATCATCCCGATGGTAAAGCCCACGGCGGCACCGGCATCTTAATTAGAGAACGCATCAAACACCATTTTCACCAAAGGTTTGCAACAAATTACTTGCAAGCCACGTCTATAAAAGTGCAGTCAGGAAACGACAACCTTTGCATCGCCGCTGTCTACTGCCCACCTCGCTTTACAATCTCTGAAGTTCAATTCATGGATTTCTACAACTCACTTGGGGATCGCTTCATAGCTGCTGGAGATTACAACGCAAAGCATACGCACTGGGGATCACGCCTCGTTACTCCCAAGGGAAGGCAACTTTATAATGCACTTATAAATGTGAGAAATAAGTTGGACTACGTTTCTCCTGGTAGCCCCACATATTGGCCAGCAGATCCTAGAAAGATCCCAGATCTAATTGATTTCGCGGTTACAAAAAACATCCCACGCAACCTAATAAGCGCCACGGCCCTACCCGATCTCTCATCAGACCACTCTCCATTGTTGATAACCCTTCTTCAAAGCCCAGAAATTACCGACCAGACCTACAGGCTGACGTCGCACAGAACTGACTGAAATATAGGAAGTACGTCAGTTCCCATATTGAGCTTAACACCCAGCTCAATATCGAAGAGGACATCGACTGCTCTACCGCCGCCCTGGAAGAGGTACTCGTCACAGCAGCCAGGATCTCAACACCACAACGACATGATGCGCAAATAAAGAAGTTCAAAACCAACCTGCAAATCGAACAGCTCGTTCTGGAAAAGAGGCGTCTGCGAAGGGCGTGGCAAACCAGCAGATCGCCAAGCTCAAAGCAACGTCTAAATGAAGCCACCCGCAAACTAAACCGGGTTCTGAAGCAAGATGCCGAAAACGCACAACTGAGATATATCGAGAAACTCTCTCCAACAAGTGCAAAGCATCATTTGTGGAGGGCTCACCCAAATCTAAGCTCTCCGGCTGAAACCGTCTCCCCGATAAGAAATTCTTCAGGTGGCTGGGCGCGCAGCGACACAGACAGAGCCGAAACATTTGCCTCACATCTCAGGGGCGTCTTCCAACCGAATCCCGCCGCAAGTCCTTTCGTTCTACCGGAAATCCAAACTGAAAGCGAATCCACAATACCATCGTTTCGACCGAATGTGATCACCAAAGTCATCCGGAGTCTAAACCCGAAAAAGGCTCCCGGCGGTGACCAAATAACTCCAAAAATGATAATTGAACTTCCAAACTGTGCTATTGAGGTCATCTGTAAACTCTTCAATGGGATCATAAGTCTTGGCTACTATCCAAAAAAATGGAAAAAGTCAATAATTATAATGATACCAAAGGCTGGAAAAGATCACACGATTCCGTCCTCATACAGACCAATAAGTCTTTTATCATGCCTGTTGAAACTGTTCGAAAAATGCCTTCTAACACGCATTTTACCATATATGGGAGCTCACAACATCATCCCAGCCCATCAATTTGGCTTCAGAGAAAAACATGGAACTATCGAGCAAGTAACATCAGAGATAAGCACAGCCTTCGAACATAGAGAATACTGCAGCGCGATATTCCTCGACGTATCCCAAGCATTCGACCGCGTCTGGCTCACCGGTCTTATGCATAAAATTAAAACACACTTTCCCGGGTACACTCACAAATTACTCGAGTCGTATCTCTACAACAGAGTCTTCGCAGTGAGGTGCAACACAACAACATCCGAAAACTATAAAATCGAAGCTGGAGTCCCACAAGGAAGCGCACTTGGACCAACTCTATTCGTCCTTTACACAGCGGATATTCCCACGAGCGACCGACTACTAACATCCACCTTCGCTGACGATACTGCGATCCTCAGCCGCTCCAGATGCCCAGTCCGTGCAACATCCCAATTAGCCAACCACCTCACGGTAGTAGAGAAGTGGCTATCCGACTGGCGTATCAAAATAAACGAACAGAAGTGTAAGCACGTAACGTTTACTCTCAACAGACAAACATGCCCTCCGATCCACTTGAATAGCACAATGATCCCCCAAGTCAACGAAGTAACGTATCTCGGCGTCCACCTCGACAGACGTCTAACATGGCGTAGACACATCGAATGCAAGAAACTACATTTAAAACTAAAAGCCAGCAGCCTCCACTGGATTATAAACGCCCGATCGCCCATGTGTCTGGACTACAAGGTACTGCTCTACAACTCCACTCTTAAACCAATCTGGACGTATGGCTCCCAGCTCTGGGGAAACGCGAGCAAAACTAACATAGACATCATACAGCGCGCTCAAGCAAAGATCCTGAGAACTATCACTGGGGCACCATGGTATATTCGAAACGAAAACATCCACAGGGACCTTGGCATTCTCGCAGTAAAAGATAAAATAGAAAAGCAAAAAGCGTCATACAAGGAAAAACTCTCAGCACACCCAAATCCTCTTGCAAGGGATCTGACTCGGGTTTCCAGAAGAACCCGCCTGCAACGTAAAGACCTTCCAACCCAGCCATAATTTGTCAGGGCCATTTTTACTGTTCCAGTCTATATGACTGATAGTTAGGTTATAGTATAAGATTTGATACACTTATTGTTAGTCTCGTAAGGAGAAGATTCAATAAACAGAGCAAAGCTTTTAAAAAAAAAAAAAAAAAAGAGTTCAATGCCACAGGCGGAGCACAATAAATTTTTCCCAAGAAAACGTCAGGTCGCAAATAGCTGCGAAAGGCGCACAAAAACTTTGATAAGTGATAGAAATGACAGCAATTGTTTGACTCGATCACGCGTACGTGTGATGTTAAGATACCGACTGGATAAACAACACATATGAAGATGGTGCACAAAATCCTGATAGAATGTAAAATATTACTAGTGGTTCATCTATCCCCATGGTTAACCTATCCCCACTCTCCCCTATATATTCTTGATCAGCATCACGATCAGAATCGAAATACGTCTGTACGTCTGTCCGTCTGTCTGTTTCTATGTAAACTAGCCTCTCAGTTTTAAAGCTATCTTACTCAAATTTTTTCAAAAGTTGTGTAATTATTGCACGTAGTATATAAGTCGGAACTTGCCGGATCGGCAGACTATATCGGTTTGGGAGCTAACCGAGAATGAGCTACTAGAGAATGAAATAAAAAATTCTCACGACGTTGTTTTTGATCAGATCGCCTTGATTTCTTCCGGATGGCGTTTTCTAACTACTAATGAACTTCGGATTAAATTTTATCAAAATCGGATAGCTCTATCATATAGCTGCCATAGGAAAGACAAAAAAATATGTATATAAATAATGGGAATAAAATTATAACGTCGTTGTTTTTTAGGAACAATAGGAAAGATCGAAAAATCTATATAAAAGTAACGGAAATAAAATGATTGCATCGTTGTTTTTTTTTTTTTTTTTTTTTAATCAGAATATAGACTTTTCTAATGATTCTTGAATAACGAAGTAAATTTAATCAAAATCGGACATATCATATTGCTGCCATATAACAAATTGTCGTCATAGCTTCGATGTTGTTTAGCCTTTATGTATTTTGTTCGACATATTTATTGACTGCAAGGGTATATAAGCTTCGGCTTGCCGAAGCTAGCTTTCTTTCTTGTAAATAGGATTTTAGGATGTTTTGGTCGAAAATCTCCAGATAATACACACTTTCACACTAATCCCAAACAAAAATCTACATTCTTAGACCGATCAGATATCAAGCAGCGTGGTGTTTCTGTATCTACTTTTATTCATGTGGAGTATACAAACTTTGCGGCCTCCAATAAACCATTTAGCAGCGAATCCTAAGAAGACAACAGCTAATGCTGTATTTTTGTGTTCACAAACTAAATGCAAATGTCTTACCTGTGCCACCAGAGAATACAAAAAAATTTCACCGTTTTTCGAAGAGAACTTTGTAATGTTTTTTTCAAATATCACTTTTATACCCTTGCAGAGCGAAGTATTATAATTTCAGTCAGAAATTTGAAAATATATACAGGGTGGGCCAATTAAAAATCACCTTTTGAAATGGCTATAAAATGAAAACGCGTCAATATTTTTCAATTCTGATTTTTTTTTATTGTAAAGCTTAATTCTTCCGGTTTAATGTTGGAACACAACATCGTTCATGTGGCTGCCGCGGCTGGCGTGGCAGTAGCGGATGCGATCAGACCAATTTTTGACGACATTCTCGAGCGTGTGGGGTTGTATCTGGCCAATAACTTCGCCGATTTCGGCTTTCAGGTTTTCAATTGTTTGTGGATTCTTGGCATAACACTTATCCTTAACGGCACCCCAGAGATAATAGTCCAATGGCGTCAAATCGCAGTCTGAGTCTGAGCTGGTGAGTCAATTGGACCTTGTAAGGTATCATACCGAGGTCCTTAATATAGACTTTTCTAATGATTCTTGAATAACAAAGTAAATTTAATCAAAATCGGACATATCATATTGCTGCCATATAACAAATAGTCGTCATAGCTTCGATGTTGTTTAGCCTTTATGTATTTTGTTCGACATATTTATTGACTGCAAGGGTATATAAGCTTCGGCTTGCCGAAGCTAGCTTTCTTTCTTGTAAATAGGATTTTAGGATGTTTTGGTCGAAAATCTCCAGATAATACACACTTTCACACTAGTCCCAAACAAAAATCTACATTCTTAGACCGATCAGATATCAAGCAGCGTGGTGTTTCTATATCTACTTTTATTCATGTGGAGTATACAAACTTTCCGGCCTCCAATAAACCATTTAGCAGCGAATCCTAAGAAGACAACAGCTAATGCTGTATTTTTGTGTTCACAAACTAAATGCAAATGTCTTACCTGTGCCACCAGAGAATACAAAAAAATTTCACCGTTTTTCGAAGAGAACTTTGTAATGTTTTTTTCAAATATCACTTTTATACCCTTGCAGAGCGAAGTATTATAATTTCAGTCAGAAATTTGAAAATATATACAGGGTGGGCCAATTAAAAATCACCTTTTGAAATGGCTATAAAATGAAAACGCGTCAATATTTTTCAATTCTGATTTTTTTTTATTGTAAAGCTTAATTCTTCCGGTTTAATGTTGGAACACAACATCGTTCATGTGGCTGCCGCGGCTGGCGTGGCAGTAGCGGATGCGATCAGACCAATTTTTGACGACATTTTCGAGCGTGTGGGGTTGTATCTGGCCAATAACTTCGCCGATTTCGGCTTTCAGGTTTTCAATTGTTTGTGGATTCTTGGCATAACACTTATCCTTAACGGCACCCCAGAGATAATAGTCCAATGGCGTCAAATCGCAGTCTGAGTCTGAGCTGGTGAGTCAATTGGACCTTGAAGGGTATCATACCGAGGTCTTTAATATAGACTTTTCTAATGATTCTTGAATAACAAAGTAAATTTAATCAAAATCGGACATATCATATTGCTGCCATATAACAAATAGTCGTCATAGCTTCGATGTTGTTTAGCCTTTATGTATTTTGTTCGACATATTTATTGACTGCAAGGGTATATAAGCTTCGGCTTGCCGAAGCTAGCTTTCTTTCTTGTAAATAGGATTTTAGGATGTTTTGGTCGAAAATCTCCAGATAATACACACTTTCACACTAATCCCAAACAAAAATCTACATTCTTAGACCGATCAGATATCAAGCAGCGTGGAGTTTCTATATCTACTTTTATTCATGTGGAGTATACAAACTTTGCGGCCTCCAATAAACCATTTAGCAGCGAATCCTAAGAAGACAACAGCTAATGCTGTATTTTTGTGTTCACAAACTAAATGCAAATGTCTTACCTGTGCCACCAGAGAATACAAAAAAATTTCACCGTTTTTCGAAGAGAACTTTGTAATGTTTTTTTCAAATATCACTTTTATACCCTTGCAGAGCGAAGTATTATAATTTCAGTCAGAAATTTGAAAATATATACAGGGTGGGCCAATTAAAAATCACCTTTTGAAATGGCTATAAAATGAAAACGAGTCAATATTTTTCAATTCTGATTTTTTTTTTATTGTAAAGCTTAATTCTTCCGGTTTAATGTTGGAACACAACATCGTTCATGTGGCTGCCGCGGCTGGCGTGGCAGTAGCGGATGCGATCAGACCAATTTTTGACGACATTCTCGAGCGTGTGGGGTTGTATCTGGCCAATAACTTCGCCGATTTCGGCTTTCAGGTTTTCAATTGTTTGTGGATTCTTGGCATAACACTTATCCTTAACGGCACCCCAGAGATAATAGTCCAATGGCGTCAAATCGCAGTCTGAGTCTGAGCTGGTGAGTCAATTGGACCTTGTAAGGTATCATACCGAGGTCTTTATGCAAAATCCTCCTCAAAGAGGTTCGTGAGATGTCCAATTGTTGACTTCGTTGACGAGTGGAGGTTGTCGGAAGATCGCGCACATCTTTGGCTACAACAGCAATGTTTTCAGCAGTACGAACAGTTGACTCACGTTTTCGTGTTGTTTTGTTGTTCAGTGAACCAGTTTCACGCGCACGTTTAAAAAAATTGGCCAAAACAAATCGGGAAGGTGCCATTTCGCGACCATACTTTGTACGCAATTTCCTTGCAGTTTCGGCAACTGATTCGTTACTTTCGAAGTAAAATTTTACCATTTCCCAGCGTTGTTCGTTCGAGAAGCGTTCCATTTCGTGAACCGGAGTTGATATACTGAACAACTATCGATATGCAACTGACATATGTGGTATGTACAAATAATATGTCGATTTTTCTATGAAATTTCTATATATTCAACATATTTTATGTCTGAAAGAGTATAAAAGCTTCGGCTTGCCCAGGCTAGCTTCCTTTCTTGTTTGACAATCTGTTAGGGGACTATTCCTTGCTTTATTTTTTCATTAATATTGTAATTTATTTTGTTTAAGTATTTCTTATTTTAAAATGCTTCTAGAATTCGAGCTGGAATGGACAAAGCATACTCAGAGAGGCACTTCTCTTATACAGACAGCCTTATATCTTCAATCAAAATAATACGGTTTTTAACACTTTCCATTACCGCTAGATCAAGTTAGCAACCTATTGCACAATCTTCTGAAAAGCTCTCTTTAAACATTTTCCAAAGATTTGTGGCATTGGACCTTTGACAATTTACTATCATCACTGCAAATAAATTACGCAAATGAATTGCCGATTTGCATAAAATAACTTATTCTAAAGTACAATTCCAGTGCTTGTCATCTTCTAGTAAGCCAGTGAATGCCTTACAGGCCAATTAAAATGTGACAAATGCAACATTATTAACTGCTCTAGTATAAAATAATGAGGTTGGGTTCTTACAACTGGGTCGATTTTGGAAAGTTCGAACATATCTGTCACTGTTGTCATTGATTAGTTGTTTAATTGGTAACTTAAGTGGCTTTGATCATTGGGATCCAAATATATCCGTTGACTGCTATCAAATTATTTTATATTCCAGAACGTAAACAAAAACAAGAAATAAAGGTAGCTTCGGCGAGCCAAGGCTTAAATTCTAAAAATTTTGCTTAACTGACGAAAAACAACGATGTTATCATTTTATTCCGTTAATTTCCTTCAATTCTATATAGATCTTTTGATCTTTCCTATTTGTATGAGATAGGTATAGGATTTTTTTGAAATTTGGTTTCTCGGCTCATGGGTATTTAAAAAACTCGATGATCTAAAAGTCATAGTCGTGGGATAAAAAACTACGACGTTATCATTTTTTTTTTGCCGATTTTTATGAAATTTAATTCAAAATATTATTATAGTCAAAAACACCATCTGGAAAAAAATAATTCGATATGATCAAAAACAACGGAGTGATAATTATTTTTTTGAATCTATCGTATGGGAACTAACCGATGTAGTCGCCCGATTCGGCCCGTTCCGTCTTATATACTGCGTGCAATAACTACTAAACTTTTGGGAAAGTTTTAACAAAATAGCTTCAAAACTGAGAGACTAGTTTAAAGATAAACAGACAGACGGACAGACGTACAGACGTATTTCTATTTTGATCGTGATGCTGATTAAGGCTGTATTATGGGGTCTGAGGTGCCTACTTCACTGCGTTGCAAACTTGTGACTGAAATTATAATACCCTCTGCAAGGGTATAAAAATGGGCTGGGTGATTAACGTTTAAATCCTTATAAGAGGATATGGTAATGTGTTAAAAGATGGAAGCTAGTTTTTTCTTACTTTGCTTGAAAGCATCCTCATAACAAAACATTGTTATTTTAATTGTTTTATCAGAATTGTAATAGTTTTTAATCGTAGAAAAAAACATGATTTTTTCTTTTTGCCTTTTTATTTAGTTTGAGGAAATAATTTCTTTACGATGCGAAACATGATAGTTGCTTTTCTGTCACATTTGACAATAAGATTTTAATTCTGATGAACTTTTTTACAAAAAGGAAATAATTAATCAGCAAGCAACCAGATGAATTAGCAACCAATCGGACAATATAAGGCTGTCGGTATAAGAGACGTGACTCTCACACTATGCTTCGCCCATGCCGGCTCGAATTTAAAAAACATTTTGAAATAAGAAATACTTTATCAAAATAAAGTACAACATTAATGAAATAAAATTAAGCAAGCGAAAATTCCTTAACAAATGATCAAACAAGAAAGGAAGCTAGCCTCGGCAAGCCGAAGCTTATATACACTTTCAGATATCAAAAATGTCGAACCAAATACATAGAGGCTAAGCAATATCGAAGCTATGTTAATTTTTCTATTAAGTATCTATATTTTCAGCGATTGTTTATTTGGAAGCTGTATGATATAGTAGTCCGACTTTAATGAAATTTAAATCGAAACTTGAGAGTCATTAAAAAATTCGTCGTCGTCCGGCTTTTATGAAATTTACCGTTGGTTTTGGTCATATCGACTTGATTTCTTTCAGATGGTATTTTTTATTCAAATGTTATCAAAATCGGATGACTATATCATATATATATATATATATATAATAGGTTTGCAATGTCCGGTTAGTAAGCCGGTAACTATCCTAAGTGATCTCTTTCCTAGTAGTATAAGTTTCTTAAACCTCTTCATGTCATAATTGACGATGAGGGTTTTGGCTTGTCTTTGGCCTGTGGTGTTTCCCCAGCAGGTTTGCCTCATATGTAACTCTTCCTTCCTTAGGTAATCTTTGATTGTGTGCCTGCCTATGCAACAGTAAGGCTCTGGTCCTATAAGGGGTCGTTCCGGCCCTAGTTTTGCTAACCTGTCGGCTAGTTCATTCCCGGATATGTCTTTATGTCCTGGAATCCATCTTAATGACAGCCTGTTGTTGCTGCCCAGAAGGTTCAACTTTGTTCTTACTTCTCGAACCAGCTTCGAGGTGATTCTATTGCTGCAGAGTGCAGTAATAGCCGCTCGACTGTCCGAGAGGATCGCAATGTCCTTGTTTGTGTACCCACGCTCCATATTGAGCCCTGTACACCGTCCTATGGCGCATACTTCAGCTTTTAATATGCTGGTGTATTGGCCTAACGATTCATGGTACTTGATTCGTGGTCCTATTACTCCAAGGCCAGTGCCTTGGTGTGTTAGAGACCCGTCTGTATACCATGCTATAGTATGACTCGCCATGGAGTGTACTTCCTTCATGGTGGTCCATTCTTTCTTGTTGCTCAGATGATCAGAGAAATTCTTTTCGAAGATGAATTCTACTGTCATTTCGTCCCTGGGGTGTGAACTCAGGGGAAGTTAGACTAGTAGTTTTGCTGCATCCCTAGGACTGAGGATGCGGTCACTGCCATTACCACAAGAATTGATTCTTAGTAGGGTGGCTTTCCTCTGTAACTCTACTACGCAGTGTAGCGGAGTGAGTTCCATGAAAACTTCCAGTGTCGCAGTGGGGCAGGTTCTCATTGCTCCTGCCATACATATGCATGCCAGTCTTTGCAGCCTTTGGAGCTGTTTCTGTGCGGTAATGAGCCTAGCTCTTTTACCCCAGGCTACTGAACCATATGTAAGTATTGGCCTCACAATTATAAGGTATAGTGTAAGGATGTTCTGGCTATGCCGGGGTGAAGCCTCAGCGGTGCCAGGGGTGTTCATCACAGAAAATTTATAAGAAACTATGAAGGGACACTGGAGGATCGTGGGAGGTGGGTGACGCATGGTACTAGAGAGGGAGAGCACTGGCGACGGCGGTAAGGGTGGTCATTGGCCAGTCGGAGTAGCTTCCGTCGCAGCCGACCCAGTGTGTGGTAAAAATTCCAGGCACACTGGGTGGCAGACGACGAGGCTGAAAGCAGCACGAGGGAGGGGCGAGGGGCCCAGTTGGCTCTCAGCTAGGCAGTCGCTGGCGTGGTAAAAGTTCCAGGCGCCATAACTACCTGGGTGGGGCGAAAAGTGGGGATCCGTGCCAATGTCGGTGCCGGCTACGATCGGCAGGCATGGTCCCGGGCGCTGTGGTCGAGAGAGCCCAGTCACCTCCACCGTAGCCAGTCCCGTGCGTGGTAAAAATTCCAGGCACAAATGGCTGACGATGGAGGGCGGAATCGGAGACAGAGAGAGAGAGGGCGGGAGCCCGGTGGGCCCGATCGAAGTAAAGCTGATCGCTGGGAAATCGGAGTAGCTCCTGCCGCCGCCGACCCAGCGCGTGGTAAAAATTTCAGGCACGCTGGGGACGAGCGCCCGCCGAGGTAGTTGGTGGCGTGGTAAAAATTCCAGGCGCCATAACTACCAGGGCAGGGCGGAAAGGGTGAACTGTGCCATGCTCGGGTACCTGCGGGGTCACTTGCCGCGGAGAGGGAGGAAAGCAATTAAAGGTGCCGATGCTGGTGGTTTTCTGTGTAAATGTGAGTGTGTGTCTGTGTGCGTAGATGTAGGTGTGTATGTGCGTAGGTACATGTGAGTGTGTGTAAATGGGGCATGTGGGCTTTTTTTTTTTTTTTTTTTTTTTTTTTTTGTATAGGGGGAAAGCTTGAAGAGCCGAAGTCTGGGTCTTTCACCCAGTAAAACCATGAACCTACTCTCCGTTTCCCTTCTCACGGTACAACCGCAGGGGTTAACCTTGGGTATTACTTCGCGAGGGGGGAGATGGCCTGAAAAGCCGCAACTAGTAATTAAACTAGGTTAGCGCGACGCATGGATTTCATGACAAAGACTGTCATTTTGCTGACGGCATCCCAATTGTTTTGTGAGCCCAGTAGCGTATCCATCAGGTCAGAGACCGTGAACGGCTTCCCAATTGCTAGGCTGAGCTCATGCCTTATAGCTTCAAAACTCGGACATAAAAAGAAAACATGTTCTGCGTCTTCGATTGCACCAGTACACTGTGTGCAGAACGGGTCCGTCTCGTGCCCAAACCTATGAAGATAGGATTTAAAGCACCCATGTCCTGTCAAGAGTTGCGTCATGTAGAAGTAAACCTGTCCGTGCTTTCTTTCTACCCAACGCTCCACATCGGGCAGCAGCTTGTGCGTCCACCTACCCTTTGTGCTTCCACTCCACCGGTTTTGTCACGCTGAGACCACGCGGGCTCTGATCTCCTCGATCGATGCATATTCGCCGGCCAGCTCCTGCGCCTGCTTTGCGAGCAGGTCTAGGGCCGTCGTGGCGGCTAGAAATAACGCGCTTTCCTCGGAAATGGTCCGAAAGCCACATATAACTCGGAGTGCGGCATGAGCGGCTATATGTAGGCGAGGTCATGGCCGGAGCCCAGATCGGTGCCGCATACATGATTGTGGATTTCACCACATTTGCCAGAAGGCGCCTACTCTGCTGTTTTGGCCCGTTAACGTTCCCTAACATTCTAGCTAAGGACGTGGCAACTTTAGCAGCTTTGTTGCCCGTCACCTCTAGATGGAATTTGAACGTAAGCCGGTGATCCAACATTACGCCAAGGTACCTAATGAATGGCTTGGACCGTATAGTAGTCCTACCCACTATTATTTGGGCGGTTTCTACCGCCTTCCTGCTGCTAATCAAGACGGATTCCGTCTTGTGCTCGGCTAGCTTCAAGCCATTGGCACATAGCCAGTGGGAAGCTTGCTCGATGGACGCATTTGTTACTGCTTCGGCTTCATTTAAATGCTTCGCTACTGCGATGACGGCAATATCGTCTGCGAAGCCAATGATCGTAGCTCCTTCAGGGAGCTGTAGGTTAAGTATTCCGTCGTACATGCAGTTCCAGAGGGTAGGACCCAGAACAGCCCTGAGGAACTCCTGCTGAAACTGCATAGCTTCGACGGCCCTCCTCAGTGCCATATAGATGCTGTCTGTTGCTAAGATACTCTGAGACTATGTCCACCAGATAGCTGGGGACCTGTAAGCGTCTCAGGGCCGAAAGTATCCACACCCAGTTTGCTGTATTAAATGCGTTCTTTACGTCTAGAGTAGTCACAAGGCAGTATTTTTTACTACCACCTCGCCACCGTGCTCCCTGGATTGCCTCAGAGCCCAGTTTGTGTACCAGCCCGATCGCGTCCACTGTGGAGCGCTTCTTCCTAAAACCAAATTGGTTATGG